GAGGGAGAGAGAGAGAAAGAGGGAGAGAAAGGCCTATCTACTCTTTCACTCCTTAATACTCTGAGTGGCCAAAGTGGGGAGCCAGAAACTCATTCCAGATCTCCCCTGTGGGAGGCAGCAACCCAACCACTTGAGCCATCAGTGCTGCCTCCCATAGTCTGCATTAGCAGGAAGCTGGAGTCAGGAGCTGAAGCCAGTAATAAGCTAGGAACCAAACCTAAGTGCTCTGATATGGGATGCAGCTATTTGAACTGCTGTGCTTAATGCCTGCTCCTTCAGGCCACCTTTTAAAAGTTCTTTTCCTTTTTTCTATTTTTTTAAGATTTTATTTATTTATTTGAGAGGTAGGGTAACAGACAGTGAGAGGGAGAAACAGAGAGAAAGGCCTTTCTTCTGCTCGTTCACTCCTGGCCGGAGCTGCGCCAATCCGAAGCCAGGAGCCAGGAGCTTCTTCCTGGTCTCCCTCGTGGGTGCAGAGGCCCACGTAGTTGGGCCATCTTCCACTGCTTTCCCAGGACACAGCAGAGAGCTGGATTGGAAGAGGAGCAGCCAGGACTGCACCCATATGGGATGCCAGTGCTTCAGGCCAGTGCTTCAACCCATTGCACCACAGCGCCGGCCCCTAGAAGTTCTTTTTCAATATATAAGTATTCTTTTAACATATCCCATTTTGCTCAAGAAATTTACCTTTTTTATTTAACATGCATAGCACTTAAATACTTAAAATAATATATCTTAATATTTTATATGTATTTTTATCTTTGATTTTAAGATTCTGGGTTACTAGGCAAGTATTCGTGAAACTGCCCCTCAAAGCCTAGCCTACTAAATTTGCAGTTACACTGGAAGACATATCCCATACATAACACTTGCTTCTAATGTGATGTTATGATTAATGACAGAATGAAGGCTTGGAAATAAGATGTGGTTACAAACTGTGTCAGCACTTCCACAAGTTGTAGAGAACAGATCTTTAATTGAAAGTTGTGGGGATGCAAACTGGTAAAGCCACTATGGAAGTCAGTTTGCAGATGATTGCTCAGAAACCTGAATATAGACCTACCATACAACCTAGGTATTCCACTCCTTGGAATTTACCCAAAGGAAATTAAATTGGCAAATAAAAGAGCTGTCTATACCTCAATGTTTATTGCAGCTCAATTCACAATAGCTAAGATATGGAATCATCCTAAATGCCCATCAGTGGAAGACTGGATAAAGAAATTTTGGGATATGTATTCTATAGAATACTATACAGCAGTAAAAAAAATGAAATCCGGTCATTTGCAACAAAATGGAGGAATGTGGATGACATCATGCTGAGTAAAATAAGCCAGTCCCAAAGAGACAAATATCATATGTTCTCCCTGATCGGTGACAACTAACTGAGCACCTAAAAGGAAACCTGTTGAAGTGAAATGGACACTATGAGAAACAGTGACTTGATCAGCCCTTGCCCTGACTGTCGAGGAACAACTTACTATTTTATTCCTTTTAGTGTTTTTTTTTTTTTTGTTCTACTTAATACCATTGGTTGAACTCTTTAATTATAGTTATTATTAGTCATTTAAATTTAACTGAAAAGTGATCCCTGTTAAATATAAGAGTGGGAATAAGAGAGGGAGAAGATGTACAGTTCAGCACATGCTCACTCGGACTTACTCCTAATGGTAGAGCTAGAAACATGCCAGGGGAGGGGCTGGTGCCATGGGTCACTTGGTTAATCCTCCGCCTGCAGCGCCGGCATCCCATATGGGTGCTGCGTTCTAGTCCCAGTTGCTCCTCTTCCACTCCAACTCTCTGCTGTGGCCCAGGAAGGCAATGGAGGATGGCCCAAGTTCTTGGGCCCCTGCACCCACATGGGAGACCAGGAAGAAACACCTGGCTCCTGGCTTCAGATAGGCATAGTGCTGGCCATAGAGCCTATTTGGGGAGTGAACCAGCAGAAGGAAGACCTTGCTCTCTCTCTCTCTCTCTCTCTCTCTCTCCTCTCTCACTGTCTATAGCTCTACATGTCAAATTAAAAAAATATTAAAAAAAAAAAGAAATGTGACAGGGGATTCCAATTCAATCCCATCAAGGTGGCAGGTACCAATGCCATCTTACTAGCTAAAGTGATCAGTTTAAGTTCATAATTCATCAGAAGGATAGGATTAAGTGTCAAAGAGATTACATAAATAAGACCAGTTCCTGTAAATAATTGATAGAATTAAAAAGGAGAGAATGATCCTACATGGGAAGCAGGATACACAGCCGACTCCTAGAATGGCAAAAGCCCTCAACAGCGCTCTGGCCTCAGAATCAGTCCTTAAGGCATTCGGATCCAGCTGAAAAGCCCATGAGAGTTTCGCAGGTCGCAGGCATGGGAAGCCAAGACATTGTTAAAAAAAAAATGACCTAAATGAAAGATCTCTGTGAGTGAGATCCTAGCAGAAAGAACTGGCCATCAAAGAAGGCAGTACCTTTCTCTGGAGGGAGAGAGAACTTCCACTTTGAATATGGCCTTGGTGAACTCACGAGGCTTCCATAGCCTTGGCAGCTCATGATAACAGCCTCGGGTGATTACTGACATCATAAATAAGAGTGTCAATTGTTAAATCAACAATGAGAGTCACTGTGCACCTGCTCCCCTGTAGGATCTCTGTCTTTAATGTGTTGTACTATGCAAATTAACAGTAAAGCTACTACTCAAACAGTACTCTATACTTTGTGTGTCTGTGTGGGTGCAGTCTATTGAAATCTTTACTTAGTATATACTAAGTTGATCTTCTGTATATAAAGATAATTTAAAATGAATCGTGATGAAGAATGGGATGAGTGAGGGAGTGGGAGATAGGATGGTTGCAGGTGGGAATGAGGTTATGGGGGGAAAAGTTGCTATAATTCAAAAGTTGTACTTTTGAAATTTATATTTATTAAATAAAAGTTGAAAAGAAAAAAAAAAGAAAGTTGCATATCGTGGATAGTGGGATTGCTCACAAAAGAACCAAACATTGGGACTGGCATTATGGTGCAGTGGGTTAAGCTAAAACTTGTGACCCTGGCATCTCATATTAGAGTTCTTTGCTTCTGACCCAGCTTCTTGCTAATGCACCTGGAAAAGTACTGGTTGAATGCCCAAGTGCTGCCACCCACATGGGAGACCCAGATAGGGTTCCTGAATCTTGGTTTTTGAGGTTGAGCCCATTTAGGGAGCGAATCAGAAGATGGAGAATCTCTCTCTCTCTCTCTCTCTCTCTCACACACACACACACACACACACACAACACACTGTGTACCCCTGGGTATTAAATTAGTAACTGTGCGACTTTAAATGAGTCACTTAATTTTATGGGTCCCAATTTCCATCCTCATTGACAAAGTGAGCGTCATACCTTACTACCTCACAGAATGTTTTGGAAGTTTAAATGCTCACATTTCCTGTGACTCTTGAAAAGATGAAAATATCTGGAAGAAGAGTGCCTCCTTTCTTGGTCAATTTCAGACTACTCCTGAACTCCCAAGGACCATAGTAAGCTCAATATGTATTTCTTGGATGCTATAGACTGAAGGATTTTCTAGAATCAAGTGTGTAACATTTATAATTTCACTTCATTTTTATCATTTTTAAAATTTATTAACTATTTGGATAGGGCTACATTGTAACAACCATGAAAAATTTGGGTGGCTTTGTATATAAGCTAGGGTTCACATATTTCTGTACTTATAAGTGTCACAAATTGTTATTTCCATCCCTTGGTGATCCTTAGCATATTCTGTGTTATCTGTTTCCTCCCCTTTCATGAATACCTTTGTCTCCCCTTTGAGAATACAAGTACTCTAGGTGTATCTTACAGCTGTACTTTCAATGCCTGAGAGGCTGACATCTAATAGTTTTTGAATAAATGCTGGCTGCAGCTTCTGCTGCCACCACTGCAGCTTCTTTTATTTTATTTTATTTTATTTTATTTTATTTTATTTTATTTTGAGAGGTAGAGACAGAAAGAGGGAGAGACAGAGAGAAAGGTCTTCCATCTGCTGGTTCACTACCCAAATGGCAGCAGCAGTTGGAGCTGGGCCAATCAGAAGCCAAGAGCCAGGAGCTTCTTCCAGATCTCCCACATGGGTGCAGGGGCCCAAGCACTTCGACCATCTTCTACTGCTGTCCCAGACCCTTAGCAGAGAGTTGGATCAGATGGGTTGCCTCAGGTGGAGGCAACACTGGCTCCTGCAGCTGCTTTTAAAATACTGAAGCTTTTAAAATACTGAACTTAGGAAAGATTCATTGGAAAACATCATATGAAGAAGAAGGATCAGCTTTAGAATAAATAACTGCTACCTACCCCCCAGGACAGTGCTTGATCTCTTGAGAATTCTTTCTTAGAGAGACAATTGCTAGGAAAGCAGCGATGATTCAGAAAGCATCATTATTTACCGCATCTACTCAAAGGCAAGGAAAGATAAAAATGGGTCTTAACTTTCCTAACATGAACGTGCATCTACTGAAAATTGCTTTGGGGACCAGAACAGATCAAAAGACGCAGCTTTCCATGGGGAAAAAGCCTTTGAGATAGGTTGAATTTCTCATTTCTAAAGAATAAGAACAGAGATTGATCTGTGTAGTCCCTACGAATTACAGTGATTTGATTGCAGCTTGACCGAGCACCATAAGCAAATTCTGGCAGGCAGAGTCTCTACAGGAGTGGTCAAGCAAGTCAGTGCTCATTTCCTTCCAAGCCCTGGTTTGGCTGATTTATACATAGAAAAGCAGAACAAGAGGCAAGGGACTACTGCCTCCTAAAACATCCGAGTGGCTAGTTCAGCTCAGGGGTTATTTATAACAATCTGGCTCCCGCAGAGGACTTCCTGTTCTATTCAGCAAATGTGAAAATGGAAGGTCCAGGAGCATTGCAGTAGACGGAGATGAAGATGGTAGTCACTGAGAGATTCTCATGCCCATTGGTGATTCTTTACCTCTGATGAGGCTCACCCTTTTCTTCATGTGCGCGTTCTATTTGTAGATGTTGCTATGAAGACAGATTCATCAAGCATGACTGATGTGGAGTCTATGGTCACTAATTTTGCAACTTCAGCGAGAGCAGGCCGCCGGAATGCCTTACCGGACATCCAGAGTTCAGCTGCTACGGCGGGAAGCTCAGAATTACCCCTCAAACTGGCGGACCTCTCTGTGAAGGAAGGTAATACTCAAAATGCTCTGAAAATCAGCAGCGTTTCTCTCTTCTTAATCAATCCTCTTCTCTGAAACGGTTTTTCTTTTAAGTAAAAGTTAAGTGCTCTTTTTTCCTGTTTAGTAAAACCGCTCAGCTCTTGCTTAAGGCTAAGTAGCCTTTTCAGCCTTTCTGAAGTCGATGATTTATCTATCTGTGTCGCAGAGTGGATGTGGAAACTGAAGCTTTATTTATTTCCTAAATGTGTGCGATCATGCACAGGACGAGTAACCGAGAGTATAAAGGTGACTAAAAATAATCCTTTCCTCAATGAGCGTATGAAATTTTTGAGAAGCACCCAGAAATGAAATAATTTTCCTACTGCCATCCGCTGACAACTTGCCTTGGAAACTTTTACTTCACAGTCATATTCTGCCATGCCCTCCCACTTGTGTTGAGGAAGATTTTTACAATTATGGATGAGGCTTTTTAAGTAGCTTATTGTGTGAAATGTGATTCTTCTTCAAGTAGTAGACTAATTCAAAATAAGAAAAAGGATACTTTTCAAACTAATGAAGGCCTTGTGTCTTTCTCACCATTGCCTACATACAATTAGGTAGCTGCCAGAGTGCAGTTTTCTGAGAACAAATACAAAGATACATTGAATAAAGTGCTAAAAGAGTTTTTCCCTTAAAACACATGAAAAGATGAAAGGGAATTTTAATTCCAAGCCATTACCAAAATGCCCTTGCCTTATGCTATGTTTTTTTACTCTAGACTTTGTGTGTGTGTGTGTGTGTGTTTGCTTAGAAATTTATTAATGATGACATTGAGACAAGAGAATGCTAGAAGTTGCTACATGTCGACTCTATTCATGGGAATCCAAGTAGAGAGACACTTTGGTTTTTAGCCTCAGAAAGTTATTCACCACCTGGTAAAGTTGCAAATAATCCTGGTTTGATCTCTATGAAATATTTATATCCTTGTTAGGCCAGAAACTGTGGACAGATCTTGAAGCTACATGCTTACCTGACATTTTTCCTAAGGTCATTATGTTTCTTATTTGGAACACTGCAAGTAAATAGAAAAGCACACACATACACATAAAGCATTAGGAAAAGAAAGAGAAAAATATAAAATGAAGAAAATTAATAAAACATATGGGTTTTTTTTACTTTTAAGTTGAAAAATATAATACAATGCTCATAACACCATACTGTAGTAGAAGGGCCCATATTAGATTAGGGAAGTAGAGAAGATAATCATTCCATTTTTATATAAAAAAAAACAAGTCTAATTAGCGTTTATATAACTTGAAGCACACGCACAAAACTTTATGCTTACTGCAGTAGTCAAAGAAAAAGGAACAAGTTTGCTGTGACAGAGTTAGTAGTCCTGTCCTTTTTTTTTTTTTTTTTTTTTGCTCACTAGAGAGATCCTTTCCTGGAAGACTACTGTTCCTTTTGTTTAATCATTTTCTTTACATAATTTTGAAATAAAGTCAAAGGCATCAATTAAGAAATTCAAAATGTTAAAAAGGAATCTACATATGACAGTAGCTGTTAAAGACTAAACAGAAGGACTTAGAACTCTGAAAGTAAATGGCATAAGTAGTGCTTTCTTAGCATAACTGTAAATAAGTTGTTTTAAGGTCTACTTTTTTTCTTATTAGCTAAGGGCAAGCATTTTTTTTCAAAGATTTATTTATTTTTTTGAAAGTCAGAGTTACATGCGGGAGGGGGGTCTTCCATCTGCTGGTTCACTCCCCAAATGGCCACAACGGCTGGAGCTGCACCAATCCAAAGCAAGGAGCCAAGAGCTTCTTCTGGGTCTCCCATGTGGGTGCAGGGGCCCAAGGACTGGGGCCATCTTCTGCTGCTTTCCCAGGCCAGTGCAGAGAGCTGGATCAGAAGTAAAGCAGCTGGGACTCGAACCGGTGCCCATATGGGATGCTGGCACTGCAGGCAGCGGCTTTACCCTCTATGTCACAGCACCAGCCCTAAGCACAAGCACTATTTAGAATTTAAAAAGGAATGGTTACCAATTGTTAACTACAAAGTGAAAGCTGGGGTGTGTCTTATAAATTATGGTTTCATTTAAAAATACAAATTCTAGGAGTTGGCATTTGTCTCTATGATGAAATTGCTGCTTTGGGGTATCCAAAACTGGAATTCAGGACCTTGGTTTGAATCCAGACTTCTTGCTGATCCTCTTCCTGGGAGGAAGCAGATGGGCTCAAGTACTTGGATCCCTTCCACCCTGTATGGCTTCTATCTGCCCCAGCCTTCGCTTTGTGGGCATGTGGAGAGTGAACTAATAGATAGGAGATCTTTCTCCTTTTGCCTATAAGTCCCTATGCCTTTCAATTAAAACATTAAGAAACAAATTATCACAAATATCTGCAGCTTTTCCTCAGGCCTAGCTCTTTGTTTTTAAGTTTAGTTTCTTTAGTGATAAGTGTAAATACTTCAAAAAGTTAGTGAAAATATGCTTATCTTGGTCCAAAACTTTTTTTGAAACTGATTCACAACATACATAGTACACATTTTCCATGAAATGTTTCTACTTAGGTAAAACCAAATGTAAAATCTTAGATAATCTTGTATGCCATGTTGAAATTAACCTGAGTTTTGCCTAGTTCATTGTCGGTATTAATTTGTCCCTTACAAATTGATAACTGTAAAAGGGAGGATCATGATGCCTTATAACATGTATCAGCAAGAGCCAAATAAAATGCATCCCCAAATATTCTACAGGTCACAAAGTGACTTTTCTTAACTTCATCATTACCACTTATGTGATCTGTCATTCAATTTAGTGCACACCAAGTGCTAGGTACCAGTCTAAAAACTAGCCATGTAGTGGCCCCTAAGGCAGATGTAAACTGCCGTTTGCATGGATCTCATACTGCAGTGGAGGAGATAGATTCTAAACAAGTAAGTCAGTAGTGGTATGTTTTATCAGATAATTTTACCGAAGACTATTTTAGGTTGTGAAATTAGGGAAACTCTAAGTGAAATATGAATGACAACCATATATTTTGAATAACTAAATATTCCAGCCACAACTTTTTACTTCAAATATAAGAGCATATTTGCAGAAGGAGCAGCTAGTAAAAAATTCTTAGGGTAGAACACAAGGGACACTGTCAAGAAGTTTAAATGCTGACACCCATGGACTCAAGACAATGGGGAGAGATGAAGAGTGACACAAGATGACTTTGGAGATGTAAGCAAGAGCTAAATCTTGTGGGTTTCAGAAACTGGGGTGAAGAAATAGACTTCTGAGTGGGAGGATTTCCAGCAGGATAGTGTAGTGAGATATCATTTATATTTAAAACATTCACAGTCTGTTATGTGGAAAGTGCATTTCAGGAGAGCAATAATGGAAATAGATTAGGAGGCACGACCATCACTAGGAAATCTTTTGGAGCCAGATTAAGCATTCAGGCTCACAAAAATGCATGTGATTCCAGTCTACTCAGAAGTATACACACGATGAAGCAAAGCAGGCAAGGAGGGCAGCATCATATAATCTCTGAGAGCCTTATAGAAACTTATATGGCAAACCTGGGGCTTGGTCTCTGTGTTGCTCCTCTTCTCCCCACACCACCAATTGAGAACCCAGCTACAAAGAGTAAGAGTTTTACCAATGAGGGTAATAGGTTAGAAGCCCCATCTCCTAGATGACCTGATACTTTGTGACAAGTCCTTGGACACTGCCCCTTATCTTCCCTGTGTGAGACTTGTTCAGTTACAAGATTCATAGTCTATAAGGAAGTCCAATGCTATGGTTTCCTACAGATATTTATTTATTTACAGAACTATTTATAGTTCATATCTAGTTTCTGTCAGTAGTGATGTATTTTACCATTTTGATTGTATTTACCATAAGCTTAGAACTAGGCTAACATTCCATTTTAATGTAGTTTCTAATAATGGAAAATTAAACCCAAGTCAAATTTGCCTTAATAGAAGGAGAAAGGTGTTAGCCTTTATCAGTGGAGAGTGCTGGAGTGAGTGATGGTTTCTTCAAATAAGTAGTTGGATTATGGATATGTTTTGTAGGCAGAGTCAATAGAGCTGGCTGATGAATTGGATGTGGTAAGACAGAAGAGAAATGACTGATTATATCTTTTATATCAAATGGGTGGATGGTGATGCCAAAAACCAAGGAAGACTAGTCTTGAAGGAGGGGTAATTTTGAGAGTTAAAGTGAAGATATCTTTTCTTTTTTAAAAATGTTTAGGGGCTGGTGCAGTGGCACTAAGGTAATCCTCAGGCTACAGTGCCAGCATCCCATATGGGCACTGGTTTGAGATCTGGCTGCTCTTCTTCCAATCCAGCTTTCTGCTGTGGCCTGGGAAAGCAGTAGAAGATGGCCCAAATGCTTGGGCCCCTGCACCGGCATGGGAGACCAGGAAGAAGCACCTAGCTCCTGGCTTCGGATCAGTCATTTGGGGAGTGAACCAAAGAAGGAAAACCTTTCTCTCTGTCTCTCCCTCTCACTGTCTGTAACTCTACCTTTCAAATAAATAACTAAAATCTTTAAAAAAATTATTTATTTATTTATTTACTTACTTACTTATTTGAGAGGCAGAGTTACAGACAGAGAGAAGGAAAGAGAAACACAGAAATCTTCCATCCATTGGTTCACTCCCTAAATGGTTGCAAGGACTAGGAATGGACTGATTGAAGCCAAGAGCCAGCAGCTCCTTCTGGGACTCCTACGTGGGTTCAGGGGCCCAAGCACTTGGGCCATCTTCCACTGCTTTCCCAGGCCATTAGCAGGGAGCTGGATTGGAAGTGGAGCAGCCGGGACTCGAACCATCACCCATATGGGATGCCGGCACTGCAAGTGAAGGCTTAACCTACTATGTTACAGCGCCAGCTTCAAGAGAGAGTGAAGATTTCTGTTTCCTCCATATTCCATTGAGATTCCCACAAAGCATCTAAATGGGCATGTTCTTTTAACTGTTCAATATATAGGTCTGAGGGACCAGAGTGGTGGAAAAACTTTGAGAGATGTATAATTCTGAATATTTGAATGTATATTTTCAAAATGTATTTTATATGATAAAGGAGAAACCAGTGCAAATGCAATTGTACTGTATCTTTCAGCCACATAAGTAGATTAGCTATTCAGTACACATGGAAGCAGAGATTATAAACAGAAGAGGAACCTTAGAAAGTTCATGCTTTTGATGTTTATTTATGATATATCATAACTAAGCCTCAAGCAGGTTATGTGACTTGCCTAAGCTCACGAAATTAGTTGATGATAGAACCTCTAGGTCCAATGCTTTCATCTTTCTCACTACAGCAACTTTTGTGGTATGTGTATGTGTCTTGTGTGTGTCAATACAAAAAGGTCACTGTCATAAAGTAAGTTTAGAGTTAGTGATTTAAATTAAATCAGCTGTTTATGCTTCTTATAATAAGTTTTCTTTTTTCAAACCAAGATGGCTCATAGCCTTATTACAGAGATGTTAACATGCTTTTGTGCCTACAATCCTCTGTGGATGGGACATACAGCATTTCTTTATTTCATTTACTTGATGAAGAAGTATCTTAAAGAATGACTTTCCTGTGAGGCACTCTGAAAATGTTGCACTGTACATCATAATTCAACAAAAAAGAAAAAAAAAACTGAAGAGTAGAATCCAAGGAGAGATACTTGGATAGGAAGAATTTTGTGAGACCCATTGAGGCTTAAATAGTTTTATTTAAAAGTGCAGATATTTAATGATGGTACATTTTAAAGGATGAAATAGGGAATAGTTTTTGGTAGAACTGCTATTGCAAGAGAGTTGTTGTTAGTAAGGTAGTGATTGAGGAAATGAAGGAGCCAGGAGAAAGGGAAAATCAGATGAAATACAGAAAGAAGGGGGATGATCAGTTGAGATAGCTTCCTGATGTGATATAAATGGCTAAGATCTAGGATCATGAAAGCATTAGACTTGGTTTTAGGAGCAGCAGGAGGTGCAGCTCCAAAGGTGTGCAACCAGGAAACGTGCATGGGGCTTCCTGCTCAAAAAAGACTCGCACTTAGTGTAATGCTTGATAATAGCCACCTTGAGCTCTTTAAATAATTTATGAACAAAGGGTGCTGCGTTTTCATTTTTTTGCTGGTTGCCAACAAATTATGTAGCCAGCGCTGAGGAACACATCTTCCATGGTAATAGGCGGGAGGGCAAAAAGCATAAGCACAGATCACGGGATTTAGACATTTAATGGCAGGAAGTTGCGGGAACTCCGATCTGACAGCTTTACTTTTTTCCCTGTGAAGTAGAAGGTGAGATAATTGCCTCACAGCAAAGGACATACAAAGGGTGTAGAATCTGAAGAGAGTGTGACCCAGCATAGGAAATGGTTAAGAAACCCAGACAGCTGGGGTCCAGGCTTGCCTGTCACTGACAAGCCCTCTGCCTTTGGGCCAGTCACTCACTGGTGTGTGCTTTAGTTTACTCATCTCTAACTGGAGATTGTAACAGCACCTCAGAAGAATACCAGGCGCTTAGCAACTCTGCAGCATAGGAAAGTTGGTCAGGAGAATGAAGTTTTCTAGACCTGATCATCTCTCTCTTCTTTGCATAGTTTCCATATTTGAACGGAGGGCTATCTTGTAGTTATGAAGAAATTGACTGAGTTGGATAAATGAAAAATCCCAAATGTTTCATTCCAATGTAGTAGCAAATATATTTCAATATATTCCACATATGAATGGAATGAAAATTTTTGGTTTTTTTTTTCAGATGTAAAAAAGAAAGATGAAGAAGCAACACAAGACCAACTGAAAAACCCCCAAAATGAAGAAAAATGAAGATTCATAATTTATCTAGAGTACTGAATGTATGCACAGCAAATGACCTAATGGTTCTGCTTTCCTGAGATGTTTGATTTGGTGGTAACTATGGTAACATTGAAGCCTCAGCAACATAGGTGTACTGGATAATTTTGTTGCAAAGCCACCTATTGGAAGGTAACAACAATGTAACCACAATGTCCTATGTAGACTATTAGAAGGAAGGTTACTCACAAACTGCATCCAAGAGAAAGGTTAAGAATGTGTGGTCACTTAAATGCATATCATTGTGTATACACTCAACAAAATCCACTGTTCTTTTTTAGATTTGTTTAGTTAGATGTATTTGTCATTCCATTTCTATGGTGACGAGCAAACCATTTTTTTTTTTTTTTTGTAAATGTGAACTAAACACCATTAATTTGAAACTTTATAGAATTTGTAGGATATTGAGATTTGGCGAGAAGGAATAGTAATATAGTGAAAAATTACATGGGTAATGTGTTTGTTTTTAACCAAAAATACATTAGCTTTTTTTCCCAAGCCCTAAAAATGATTTGAAAAAGTTGTAACTTGGACAGCATAAAATCTGTAGGATGTTTTGTGTGAAATATTTTGCTTCTGGTCTGTGCATAATGTGATTTTTCCTGTGGAATCTTAAATGTGAAATTTATGAAAAAGTGTTTATATGGGACATACCAATTAAATGAATTTCACTATCTTCCTTAACTTTGGTGTGTGTATGTATGTGTGTATGTTTTACCTTAATGTGAATTATACAAAATATTTTACTAGCTGCTCTACACTGTCTTTTCTTATTTTTAGGGCACTTGTGTATGTACAACTTGTTTTTAAAATAATCTTCTCAGGAATGCAGATCTTAATTTTTTTTTATCTTTCCTACAGTAATAACAGCTATAAGCATTCAAATAGTCAACAAAAATATCAAAATATATGCTTTTAATATATATTTAAGTATATATTTTAAAAGGAACAAAAACAGAACCAAAGCTTTAGTACATTTTGTTTTATTAGAAATTTTAGGAAAATAATAGGATTCTAAATTTTTTTAAAAATTGAATCATGAATTTATTTTCATTTTCAGATATATGCATGAAGTTATATTGTACTTAATTGTTGACTTAGGCCATGTCTGTATACAGCAGCCAAGTAAAGTCATTCACTATTAAAGAAATTTGTTATCAATACAAGTCTCCTTCATTTTATCTTCTCAAATGTATTAGGTGAGAAATGGTGACATATTTTAAAAGATGAAGGTAACAATCTATACAGAGACCAGGGATTTTGCTAAGCTCCTAAGCATCCTATAAACCCTATAAAGTAGCCCCACAACAAAGAATAACCTGACCTGTATGTCAGTAGTGCTGGGGTTAAGAAATCCCAGGTAGGGTTGTGCTGTTGAAGTCACTGAGTTTGGATTCAAGTGAACTGAATCTGGATTCTAGCTCTTCTACTCACTAGCCCTGTAGTCTTTATATCATGATCTTTATATCATGTCTGTAATTTTCATTTTCCTATGCTGTGGAATGGTATTAATTATGGTACATACATACTTTATAAGGATGAGGGGAGGTAATAAATGAGCCAATGCATGTAAAACATTTAAATAAAGCCTACAAAATAATTACCCAATAAATATAAGCTTTTATCACAATTTTTTATTTTAGATACTCTTACCATTTTTCTCTGGTAGTAGAAGTGGTGGACAGATGATTTTATTAATTTGGATGTCTTTTGCCTTCTTCTATGATTGCACAACTATCATTAATTCTGCTTTTTTTTTTTAATAATATTTATTTGAAAAGCAGAGCCAGAGAGAGAGAGAGAGAGAAAGAAAGTCTTCCATCCACTGGTTTACTCCCCAAATGGTCACAATGGCCAGAGCTGCGCCAATCCGAAGGCAGGAGCCAGGAACTTCTTCTGGGTCTCCCACACAGGTGCAGGGGCCCAAGGACTTGGGCCATCTTCCACTGCTTTCCCAGGCCATAAGAGAGAGCTGGATTGGAAGTGTTGCAGCCAGGACTTGAACTGGTGCCCAAATGGGATGCCAGCATTGCAGGTGGCAGCTTTACCCGCTATGCCATAGCACCAGCCCCATCACTAATTCTTAATGCTGAGAAAAGACTGATGGAAAGGGATAATTTTTGGTCATTACAACATTAGCACTACATCAGTAATGCTAACAAGTGGCTGACAAGTGATGAGTACTACCTTTTAATAGTGAGTCATCTCACAGATGTGTCTTATGACAGTTACTGCAACATAACATATTCTGAGTCAGTTGTAATACAGCTCTTGGACAATAGTATTACATGGTATGTTGTCTCATTTAGAAGAACAAAAGTGAAGCTATTTCTTTCCTCTATTGCTGGTAGTGGCATACATGCTGAATGAAGTCTATCCTAAATCATTTATCCATCATAATGCACAAAATGATTTATATAATAAAGGTATTCTATATGACACAAAAATTAAATTTGTTGACTATTTTTTTAAATGTTCTTTATTTCTGGTCAAAGCTAATTTGAAAGATGTACAACCAAGTGGACTTGCTAGTAGTTGTTAAACCAGTTAGATTTACCTCCCCAGTCATGGCCAGCACTAAACAGGTACAGACATCACCCTCAAGTCTAGAGCATGTTCTTCAAGGTCACAGCATGGCAATGACTTGATAACAGGATCCTCTGCGCCAGCAGGCAGGTCCAAAATGCACAGGCATGACTAATCCACATGCCCCCAGTTATTTCTTCCAAATTCTACAGAGTCACTCTTCTTCCTCAGTGGAGGAGGGAGCAAGAAGCTCAGTTGCTCCTCTAATGAAAATTCCTCCCCACATGAACATGGAGACAAATGCCTCTTTACCTACCCTTCTTAGTTCGGCTCTAGAAGAATAAAAACAAATAAACAAGAGCAACTAGCTATACACACAAAGAATAACTAACTACACACAAAGAACAGCTAATTGCACATAGAACAACTAGCTACACACATAAAGGAATAATTTGGATGCATCCAGAGAGCACATTTATATATACAATTTTAAATTGAGGTACCTCTGGGCCAGGGTTTGGCATAGTAGTTAAATCTTTCCTTAGGATATCCTCATCCCCAAAGCCAGGAGCCAGGAAGGCGATCTAGGTCTCCTATGGGTGGCAGGAGCCCAGTTGATTGAACTATCACCGCTAACTCCTAACTCCCGGTTCTTCATTAACAAGAAAATGGAATCAGCAGTAGCAGCCAAGTATCAAACACAGGGCATTCCATTGTGCGATGTAGGCATCTTTTTTTTCTCTCTCTCTCTCTTCCTTTCTCTCTCCCTCCCCCTCTCTCTACCCCCTTCCCTCTCTCCCTCCCTCTTCCTTCCTTCCTCCCTTCCTCCCTTCCTCCCTTCCTCCCTTCCTCCCTTCCTCCCTTTCTCTCTCTCTCTTTCTGCTTTTTCCCCCAGAAACCCTTTATTCGAGATAGACAAACTTCATGCATTTCATAAATGCAACTTTAGGAGCAGAGTGATTCTTCCCACTGTACCAGCCTTCCCACCAGCACTCCCACCCTTCTTCCTTCTTCTCATTCTCATTTTTTACTAAGATCTATTTTCTTTTTTAAAATGTTTATTTAATAAATATAAATTTCAAAAGTACAACTTTTGGATTGTAGAGTTTTTTTGCCCCATAACCACCATCCCACCCACAAACCATCCTATCTCTTACTCCCTCTCCCATCCCATTCTTCATTGAGATTCATTTTTACTAAGATCTATTTTCAATTAACTTTATACACATAAGATTACACTAAGAGTTAACTTTATACACATAAGATTACACTAAGAGCCAGTTCCAAAAAAACAAATGCCATATGTTCTTCCTGATCTGTGGCAACTAATAGGGCACCTAAATATTAATCTATAGAAATGAAATTGACACTTTGAAGGCAATGACTTTAAACAGCCCTTGTTTCGAATGTTGAGGAACAGGTTTTTTTTTTCATTCTATTTGTTGAACTCTTTACTTAGTATAAACTATTTTCTAGCAAAGTAATTAAAAAGTTATTTCTGAGGAGCCCAAAGGAGAATGAGAGGTCAGAATCAGTAGTAAAAGCAGAACCGGATTTGCCTACCAACTTTTTAAAAAAATCCAGCTATTTTAGGTAACCTATGGTATTTTTGTTATATCAAGCAGACACTTTCAACAAGATATGTAGTTGGGTCTCATTAAAGAATGTCTCCATAGATGGCGGAATAGTGAGGGCGCGCACCGATAGTCCGGGAAAATTTAGTTTAATAAAAGCGGAGTTACGGTAGCCTCAGAAAAAGGATCAGCAAAAAATTGCAGAGGAAACTCTTCCGGAGCTATTTGCTGTGAGTCAAAGGACCTACTGGGAGAGCAGGGTCGCCCACCACGTGGAAGCCGAACCAAGGAAGCCTCAAAGTCTGAGTGCCAGTGCGGGAAGGGGAGTCTACGTGACAAAGACACCAGCGGGGAGAGGAGAGACGCCCAGGGCTCCGAGTCCACACATCGGCGCTGGAAGCGGAGGTGAGCTTAGTAACCGGAGACATGGGCGGGGAAACGGCGGACAGAATTTTAGAGGGACGCGGGTTTTGAAGCGGGAAAGTCCAACAGACTACGGGAGAGAAGGAAAAATAAATAAATAAATAAATAAATAGGTGGGGGCACACTGGTACAGACAAGTTCCACTCTCCGCCAACCTTGCAAAGGCAAGCAAGAGACAAAGAGCTGGGATATACATAATAAAAGGGGAGAGTTAAGACTACAATTCAGTAGCCTAGGCAACCCAGTGGGAGTCCGCAGGACTCTTTGGGTAGAAGCCAGCGAAGCTAAATACCATCCATTCTGCTCAGCCTTGCAGTATTACTTACCTCCTGAACAAAAAATAAAATAAAATAAAATAAATAAATGAATAAATAAATAAATAAAGAGAGATTTACCACGCATAACCTGAGGGTGTCACCTTTGCACACCTGTAACCCTGAAGAACCAAGTAGAGCTCTCAGGCCACACCCATCTCAAGCCTCCAAGGCTCCTCCATCAGCAGGCAGTACACTTAACACGGACATAGTATAATAAAAAAAAAAAAAAAAACTCACAGTG